CTGAGAACTTTCGTTGCGCGTGACCTCGACCTTGAGTCATATCGTTGACACAGGCCAATTAATTTACTCTATGAGGGTACCACTTTCGGGCATAGATGCATATTCACCGTCTTTATTACCGTGACACCAACAGGTTTCATTGTATCACTAAATTTCACGTCTGGACTGTATGACAACACGTGGGGGTAAATGTACAAATGTTAATGTTTCAGTTTCTTTAAATGTGCATGTGAAATGCCCATCAACACATTAATTTTATTGGTTTCTGTTGCCCTTGAATGGGCATTTGAAAAAAAAATATAATCAAGTAAATTTTTTCGAGCTGTTTCCCCCTTGCCTTTCCTGTCGCAATCTACTGTTTTCGGACTACCGACTTCTCCCGACGTGAACGTCAGACAAAGGCCGTACTTACTCAGATATATAAACTATAATGATATTCATATTATATCTTCATATAATAAGTGAATTTGAACATATGCTATCAAGTGTTTTACACGTATTTTAAATCTCCTTATATATTTTAATAAAATATTTATTCAGGTGCCATTTTTAAAGTATTCTGTTACAACATACATTTAATCTGACGACCCCTTTTTTGTTCAATTATTATTATACCACACCATTTGGTTCAGATTATGTTAATTATATGCATTGATGTAGAACTACAGTCAGGTTTATGCATAATGTTAATTGAGGAGAATACCATATGACTGGTACAATGACAAAATAATTTAATGATTCTGCAATTACTACTGACACAGTATGTTCAACCGTCGCACTAACTGACAAGTGATGGTACATGTTGGTCGGTTACGCAATATAGAGACACAAATAAATAAATAAATAAATAAATAAATAAATAAATAAACAAACAAACAAACAAACAAACAAACAAAAAACAACACAAAAAAAACAAAAAAACAAACAACAGACAGACAGACAGACAGACAGACAGACAGACAGACAGACAGACAGACAGACAGACAGACAGACGGACGGACGGACGGACGGACGGACGAAGGAATGAATGAATGAATGAATGAATGAATGGATGAATGAATGAATGAATGAATGAATGAATGACATTGACTACTCCGAGAATGGCAGCTGCAATTTTAATTTGTCTTGCTACTTTCACCGACATATGGATATGTCTTCACGTGACTTGACATTTAGCGAACATTTTCTCATTCATGCCAAAATACAGCCTATAACACTTCAATCATCTTTTTCTTTATCGATTATCATTGTTTATTATTTTATTTGAAACTGACGAAGGGCATATTCGAGTAGCGACATCCGAACGTGATGGTTATTGGTGTACTCAAGGACACCGCGCTTTATGCTCACACCGTCACTCGGTAATCGAGTTGAATGACCCCTCGAGACGCGGAAGTCAGCACTCATTCGTCTCTTTCAATGCATATTTGCATTATGTCGTTCTAATTTTAAATTTTCTACTACGTGTGTACGATTCACGCAATAATGACGTCACTGGTCATGACAAGTAAAACTAGGATGCCAAACCCCAGGCATCCAATAAGATTGGCCGCTGTACTCTGTTTAATGACGTCATTCAGTTTCCATTGATTGACAGAAGTGGTTTAAATGCCAACTTGAAGGTTTCAATCCCGAGCAATATTATCACACGGTATTGCGACTAATGATTAAATCATAATGTATTTTCATGAAAATATTGAGAGTTTTATCGTTTCAGTTTACTAAAAAGCAGTGCTATTTATTTGTTATCCACAGCACTGTCTCCGGCATCAGCAGTAAGGTCACTAAAATATACATGACAGGCACAAGATAAGGGCTAACAAAACAAGTAAACAAAAAGGAATTTTATTTATAATATATAAGTATAGTTGTCAAGGTTACTCCTTTCGTACATCTCTAACATAACTCTAAAACAATTATATAACTACAAAACCATTTTCCCAAACTAGTATCACATTGTGATACGTTAAAACATAATTGTATCTTTACTTCATTGATTTTAAGAATGTGAAATAATGAAACCAAAGTGTACCAGCTTTGAAAACCAGCATATTACACTTTCATATCAGAACATTTTGAGGTTGGAAACATTGGGCTCACAAAATCAGATAAGGAATACTTGTCATAAAAGGTGAGCAACATTTTCTCTTGAAACAGGTTAAGGGTCGGCTATTTGAAATGGAGGAGGGGAATTATGTCTCAAGGAAAGGACATTTTCATGACAAAGATTCCATATTTGACTTGAATTTTGCTCACCATTTACCCACCCTAGATAGATTATTGCCATTCCCTATTGTCTGGCGTAATCAAAGATAATTCAGTGCTCGTCTATTTGCAAACAGTCGAATCACACTTCTGGACCAAAATAGACCGAACAGTCGAATCACACTTCTGGACCAAATTAGACCGAACATTGCTAAATGCCGCTTTGACTAGACTGCTCCTCTAACTTCATGTAATTTTGAAAGTTATAAAATTCGGATTTCTCTGTGTCTTTTCTATTGGAGTCCCGAGCCCCGATGCTATTTTAATAGATTCAAACTTGAGGCGATTCTTGGAACGTGATCACAATGTTACGTTCTTCCACAGTCCCCAAACAACGTTGAGGGGATTGAGGTTCTTCTGATACCAACCACGGGCACATAGCGGGACGAGGACAAAGTCATTCGACATAAAGTTCTGTTTTAGTGCAGCATGTACAAACAAATGGATTTTCCCCGTAGTCATGTAAATACTAGTAACGTACATATGTACCAGTATTTCACCGTGTGTGCCGTCACGATAACAATAGTGTTCCTCTTCGGTCCGGATGTTTGCAAAGTATTATTAAATCGATACAGATATCTGGCATTTATGCGGAAATTGATGGAACATAAAAATGCCACATCTTCCAGATTTATTTGCCCAAACTCAGTACATATGATGGAATCAAATACAAATATAACCAGTATTACATCATTTGTATTTGGTTTCCATTCAGTCTCACCGCAAGTCCAAACCACGGTTCAGACGAGTAGTACACACTGTATAGGAGATAGAAGTCAACTAAAAACCCACGAAAAAGAATCATAATAATAGAAGCCACTATCAGGTTAATGTGTTGGTTCTTTGTCAAAGACCCTAGTCATGTATTATGTATTTGTGTGTACATCTTTTGCAGGTGTCTATGACAAGACGAACAGACAAGCCCAAACTCACAAGAATAACGCAATAAACACTAGTTTTTGAAAAATTACAAAATAATTAAGTGATTTTTTAATGAAATTAGTTCATAAACTGAAACCTGGATGTATATCTTGATATATCCGTTGTAAAATATAATCGTGGACATACTGCCATTATTTAATAAAGGGGAATTTGTCCTCCCGGTTGTCTCATGTTTTATAGTACATGCATTTATAGAGGAAATTCGTGAGGCGATAACGAGGCAAGCACGACGTTGAAATCAGTTATGTATTTGTTCTGATTTGTAGTAACACGTTACAATGCAACTTTTATTTTTGTGATAAATCTCCTGGGAGTGTAACATACAAGTTAGTTATAAGGGACATGCATGCGTGTTCTGAATTTCGCGGAGAGAGTGGCATGTCCGCTAAAACTAGAAAACTGAGAGGTAGTTTTTAAAACAAGAAAGTTTTAGGTAGTGAAGGACGTTCTTGTTTCGGTAGTTCCACCTAAACTACGGTTACTAAACGGAAAGTAGACATCAAATCCACATGCACAGAGGCGTTCGAACGGAATACGAGACAGAAAAAAAAAAGTTAGCTTAGGTAAATAGTAAAGTCAGTATTTTCTCTGAAAGACCGAATTTTATCAAAATAGAGGGGGGGGGTAAATTTTATTTAAAAATCAGTGGAAAAGGGTTGTTTTTTTTATTTTGCACAATACTCGTATCAATACTCCTACCTATTGCCCCCGGCCCAGACCATTCGTAACTGTGTAATCACTATCGTCCATGCGGGAGCGATAATACGGTACAAATGGTGTTGGTAGAGAAACCACGAAAGTAAAAGATTATAGCTCCATGAACATCAATCTTAATAAAAAATTGCCACAAACAAATTTGTGAAACAGTATAGACCCCATCATATACTAACAATAATGACAGGGCGGCTCATAAGAAAGTTGACATTCGATATTGCGTTGGTAGTTGGAGACAATATAGCGCCACCAAGTGTCGACATTCAGAGCTTCTCAATAAGGTACCGTAACAATTACCAGTACCGGTATTGCCTTTCCATTTAGATTTTAACGGCACGTCAAACTTAGCCCGATTCGAAACGAGTTTCTCCCTCTATTTTATAAGCACCGCAGTAGATCATTTGAATTTCAGCGCCACATTGATGAGGTACCCCCCCCCGCCCATGTCAAGAGAAACCACCAAAACAATCCTTCAAATACGACTTATGCAAACCAGGTACAAAATGTAATTAATATGCACATATTTTAATGTAAAACTTACAAGGTCTGCACAATGTCACAGCATCTACATGGATTAGAACTTGCGATATCAATGGAAAAGCTGAAAAATTATGAATTATTACACAAATTTTGTACCGGGTATTTAATATGCACCAATTTAAACAAAAACTAATCAGGTCAGTGCATTGTCCTAGAGCATCTATGTATCTAGTTTCATTGAAATGTGATGATTAGTTGATTTTACGATGCAACATCATCCACTTAGAATTTTAAACAAATATTAAACTTCAACTCAAGCCTGGAGCCCTTGTGTTTATGTGTATTTCAACATCAGAATGATTGCACTCCACTTGTGCATTCCAACATGGCCGAGTAGTTTCCACCATTCAGATCATAGCAGGATTCATGATCTCTATTCTCTGTAGAGATCATACATAGCCAAAGCCAAACTAAGCTAACCAACCAACCAACCAACCATAGTGACTGACTCGTTACCTGCAGGCAATGATAAACTACTGGCTTCATAAAATCAGTCTAGGTCTATTTAAGTTTACATATACAAAAGACACTAACACATGAATTCAATGTTTTAATTTATTATTGTACACAGTTTATATTGGAAACAATCCTGACAAGTTGGGAGTTATTACAGTGGTAATTATGAATGCAGACTACATAAATTATCATATGATTATTTACCATTGAAAGTAGCCATTATTCATATTAAATAGCATAAATAGAATAAACGCTTAATATGGATTTAGCAGACAGATGTAAAGCGGCATAATGTACTAATTGGTTTGATTTTGTTAAATGATTGGAGACTTACTTTTCTTCACAGTATACAGTATCAATACGCAGCAGACCAAAAATAGGTTAGTACAAATATTAGACTGATGGTAGGTAAAAATGTGCAACTATGAGAGTTGAACAACTTATATTACTGTATATACATATCTTTTTATTATTTATACAAATAAATGGTTGTAGTGCAAAAACATATCCAAATTAAAACTGTTGACTTTCCAAATGAAACCAAAAACTGCAAAAGCATTTTCCTAAGTTTCACAAGCAATTTTATTTTATCAAATTCATTGGTTAACGAGATTTAACAAAATCTTCTCCCTTTTTGATGTTTTTCATTAACTCTGGTAATGCTTCTTCAATGATTTTCCTCTCATAGTCTGATACTTCACCCAGACCAAGATTCCTCTCAAGTCCTTTGGGCTGTAAAGAAATAGATTTCAGTTCAAGAGTATTTCTAACACTAATACATGTCTATGTACAAACAAAGTAAGCAAATAACACCGAAAAAACGGCAAGGTAAATACTACTTCAAATTATAGTAAACATGTACTGCGTGCATGACTCAAACCGGTGTTCACGTACGGCACTTAATCGCCTAGCTTCACGCCACTACACGTCTTCCCCTTGGCCTTGCCGTTTATTCCGTGTTATCTGCATACTTTACTTTCTATGTCTACAGCAACTATGACTTTACAATTATTTTTCAGTAGTTATGTACAAACAAGCATATCCATTTCTATTATACATTGCAAAGTCCTGGAGTTGCTTGTTGCATACATTACTATTAGTGGCTTAGATGCACACATAGCACGTGTAATAGATGTACACGGTTTACTGGCTGGTTTAAAGTGTACACGTACACTATAGGATAGGATAGGATAGGATAGGATAGGATAGGATGGCATAGTATGTCTTGACATAATTTAGCGAGGTACTGACTTTTCCATTATAATATCCCATAATCATTGTATATATGCAAGGTAACATGCTCAGTAGTACAAAATTTGAATTCCCCAAGCTAGCCTAGCTATTAGTGGTAAAGCAAACTTACCCCTAACAGAAGTGGTGTAGAGAAATAGGTGGCTTTTGTGACATCAGACTTGACAAATCCGCATTCGATCACTCCTTCTTTACCATTCAAAGCTTCTAACAACTGATGAAATAACATGTATCTTATTAATTTTCAATGAACTGTGCATTTCATGAAGGTATGAATTTGTTTTATGGACATTTATAAAACAGTTACCCTGGAAGATCTTCATGCTCCATTAAATTACAAAGACAATGTTGCCATTAGCTATATTCTGTAAGCCATTTAGATAATGCCCACTCATTGACTATACATCCTAAATGCGTGTTGATTGGTCTAGTGGTTAACAAACATCAGTTGTATTTTATAAAACATCTTATATCAAACAAATGCATGCCTTCATGAAATGCATAGTACAGTAGCATTACCACAGGTTATGATATCAAACTGATACACCTTCCTAATAAATTAAAGTACTGAAATGGCAGAGACAGGTTACACTACTGATACACACTAAAATACAACCATCATTTTCTTGAAAATTAAGCTGATGACACCAAGTCAATATCCTTATGCCCTAGAGTGAATAAATTCTGGGTATTTTTATTTATGAGTAGGCTACTACCTTAAGGAAAGGTGTATACTGCTCTATTACGAGTGCATCTCTGATAGCAGCACATATGAACTAACCGTTGCATGTGTTGTTTTCTGGATCATTATAATTTGCCAAATTTTGACCAAAGATGTCACTTATACTACTAATACAGTAAATAGGATACCACTTTGCCAACTTTGCTTATTATTATTAAAGCAGGGGAGTTGCTAAAAGATAATAGGCCCCTAGGGCTGGCAGCACATTGCCAAACCATACCCCTTATTGCAGGCGCACTGTAAATTTAGTATCCCCTAGAGCAGACATATTGAAAAAAACACACCCCCCTATTGCAAACATATATTAAGAACATCCTACTCCTATTGCAAGCATTCTCTGCTGTTTTTTTCCACTCAAGTGGGTCGTGATCAACTCAAGTAAGCTATGGCCAAGGGCGGTGTATGGGAGTGGTTGTTGCAAGTGTTGTTGGGCCTACAGCGGGCACAGCAACCGTGCAAGTTCATTCCTGGGGGTATATTGCAGACATTAGAACTTTATTTGCCTCCCGAGCGGGACCACTTTAGAAGGTGAAAAACACCTACTTTCACTGCAAAATTTAGGACGCACATGGGGTAGTAACAGCATATAAAATGACACCCCCCCAGGTGTCGCCTACGCATGCGTCAGGTGGCCATAGCGTGCCAGTGTTTACAAACAAGCGTCTACCCTCAAGCCTTTGCGTTCTTAGTGCGTGTATCATGCGCAGGTGACGACCCCCTCGCTTTAATGCTAGTATTAGAAAATTAACAATGCATGTAATTTCCAATGCAGAAAGGTAAAAACTATTTGTGGCTTACGAGAACCTTCATCCATGTGTGCTGTCAAATAATGTTACCATTTAAATAAATCGTATCGTCAAATGTAAACAGAATCAAAATACAACTCACCGAACAAGCAAATCTAGCTCCAGCATATGCCATAGACAAAGTAGCAGAACCCTAAAAATACAAGCATAGAATTACAAATTTAGGTATGCTATGCAGATTCACCATATGTAAAATCCTGTTGCAAGGCATAGAAATACAAAATCTGAGTTTATACAGAAGACAAACTTTTTCCAGAGCACAATTTTCCCCATCTGAGTGGTTGTCCCATTTAGCATAACGAATTTTATAACCAACAATAGTTTTGTAAAATATTATCTTTGTAATTTGCCTCCTCCTGTGGTATTTATGAACATCTACTTAACTTAAATAGCTTACTAGCCCCAGTAAATGTACACAGACATGTAACACGCAAGATACTCACCGCTCCAGCTTTAGCATTAACCACCTCAGTTCCAGCATTCTGAATACGGTTTGTTAGTTTCTCCAATTCATCTTGAGGGTAAGAAACTTTTGGGCTACACTGTAATTAAACACAGCAGATGAATCAAGAAATACACAGATCAGAGTTGCCCAGACTGATGTGAGGGGAACCAGACTGATGTGAGGGGAACCAGTGTGAAAAAGAAAGTGACATGCATCAATGGTAGAAATGCTTGCACAAGAATAGTTGCTATTTGGCAGATTTAAATCAGGAAATTTTAAGTCTCCTTTTTCAGACTTTGTCCAAATGGTGAGAGTAACAACAAGAATGAAACACTATATGGACAGAGCAGTGTGTAGCCAAAGGTACATTCCTCTGTTACCTACGGGCAAACGCTGGTAGGATCGTCTGTTGTAAACTAAACAACCTTCAAAACACAACACAGGTTTCCCAGCTCTTTATTTGCAAAATATCAAACAAACACTACAGATTTTGTTTACTGGTACCTGTAATATCAACTAAATATTAGTGATGTGTGAATAACCAACGTACCTGTGAAATAAGTGGTACTATAGTAATCCCTGAATGACCACCCACCACAGGGCATGATGTCTTTGATACATCCAGACCTTTACCCTCGGCAATAAATGTATTAGAACGAACAATATCCAGTGTTGTCACACCAAATATCTTTTTAGGATCATACACACCAGCTTTCTTGAATACTTCTGAAGTGATAGGAACAGTTGAATTGACCTGCAAAAAGGATGCATCCAGTTGTGATTTACCGAGTTTATAGACAGTACTGTATTTACTTTATTACTAGAGCATGCACTTGTATTAATTACAGAAATTGTGTTTATGCATAGAATAAGTAATATTTTAATGGTTCATGTGACAAAATTATATTGGTTGGTTTCACAATACACATGTAAACCCTAAATTACCATAGAAGGGACGCTGTTAATCTCTGGGATTGCACCATAGAACACTGTACATTACATAGTGCATTACTCCAACTGTAACACACATCTTCAACATGGACTGAGCTCCATTTTATTAGACTATTTGTACAGCAAAGTGCATACTTACAGGATTGGATATTATACATATCATGGCTTCTGGACAGTGTTTGGCACAACCTTCAGCTAATGTCTGTACAATTGAAGCATTGGTGTTGAATAAATCATCCCTAGTCATACCTTAAATACAAACATAAGAACACACACTATGAGAATCTATTAAATCTCATAGACATAAAATTTCATTATCGCTGACTACCGTAAATTCACACTACAAGGATGTACAATGTATGATAAGGATAAGCTACTGAGAATGTTGCAGTTTTGTACTTTACTATGGAGAAATGAAATGTCAGCATTTATATGCTCTTGTTTTGGTAACAATTCATGTATCAAGTTCTATACACTGAACTAAACATCTTTGACTGCAAGACCACCTAGCATGTGCAAGTCTATACTGGCAAAATGGTGAAATTTGAGATATAAGCAGAATTGGGCAAGAAATGCTGATTTTTGTTGAACAAAGTGAACCATCTTGATTGCAGATACGTTTTGGAACAAATGCAGATAGAGCCTTTTACAGAATAGTAAATTTTATTGTTTTTAGTGCTAGATAACTTCATATGAGTGTATATTTACCAGGTTTCCTTGGCACGCCAGCAGGGATAACTACAACTTCACATCCATCCAACGCAGCACCTAATTCATCATTACCAGTGTGTCCAGTCACTTTGGCTCTTGTCTCAATATGACTCAAGTCAGCAGCTACACCAGGAGTATGCACGATATCAAACAATGATAAATGACTTATAAGGGGGCTTTGTTTAAGTAGTAAGGACATTGGTTGTCCAATGCCACCAGATGCTCCCAACACAGCTACTTTACGGTTAGCCTAGAAGTGAAATAATATATTTTAGTATATCTAGCATGATAACATAAATAGAAATAACAATGTATCTGGAGTACTGAAAACTGTATGTGTCATGGAGAGTACAAGTCACTATACAGTGTGCATGCATCAGTGGCAAACCAGTGGTGACTTGTGCAAGTGCAATCTTTTTGCAAAATGTAAAAAAAACCAACATTTTTGCTAAAACTGTTGTAAATAGGTTACTTAAATTCTTCAAGGTAATCTAAATGAAAATAGCCAGAATTCATCAATTAGACTTTGGGATCACCTATTTTTACACCTATGACTCGCATTTTAATGAATGGTGGCCATTTTTGTCAGTATTTTCACACAATGCCATAATAGTACTGAACTCATTCGACAGAGCGTAAATGCTTGACTGAGCCCCCCCCCCACACTTTTGGGGTATTCCTATTTTTTGAATCACGTTCATCTAAGCACCCTTCCCTACAAAATGCCCCAAAGTCTAGTCATAAAACCTGTTCTTTGAGCAGTGATTGATTTTTTCCAAATAACAATATCAAAACTTATATATTACAGTGTATATATCAACCATGAATACCATACGAATATGTAACCATGTGCAAACTACGCTTTGACAATGACCTGTTAACAAGCGTGAAAAATGGTAATTACTTCATTTTATATTCAGTTTACCTTTCAAAAGTGTTTGTATGTAATGAAATATGAATAAATGAATACAGTTGTTCAATGCACACAGGGCCTACAAAATCTTTTGAAAGTAGTTTTCATGGAGCTCCTTATTTAGTTCTATGGTTGCACTAAAAAGCGGGTCGTCATTATTGTGCTTTTTTGAATGACCTACACAATGTAGTTATCGCACAATACAACATGAAAAAAAGGTGCCAACAAATTAAAAAACAAAACAAAAACTTTGTGATACGATAATTGTTGTATCATAGCTACTTGGAACTACCCTAATTATTGCTTGTAGTTATATTTTTATATACTGTATTTGCTCTATTGGAAGCACGTTAGAAGTGCTTTCTTGTAAAAATATAGGACAAAGACAAGTCTATGGACAAAATAAAAACTATTTGAATGATTTGGCATGCAATAGACAATTTTATCTTTACATGTACTTGTATTGAAGAAATGAAATGGCTGCTATTTTCACGCCTAAAATTATCCATTGATACATAAATATTATTAATTTTTATGTTTCTAAGTATAAATAATTATTTTAAGTGAAAAAATGTGTTTTTAACTCAGTCTACGGAAACTTTATTTTTGTGTATTTTAATACGAGGCTCCTCATTAGCTTCTCAATTGCATACAGAAATTCCCCTTATGACGTCAGAAGGGGAAGTCGCTGGGCAGCTTGCATTGCCGATACGTGTAAATAAGGCAAATTTCTTGTGCTGTTTTCTCGTCTTTGACTAAATTGCCACTTATGTACTTGTTCGTCGAGGAAGAATGGACCATAATGAACACATAGTATCAAGTTTGTTGCATGGGGTTGAGTCAGATGCGAAATATGTCCGGTCTGGTGTCGCTAGTCACCGTGGTCGTCACCGTCACCGGAGCACGTTTGTACACTGTCGCTGGACAAAATAGAATTTGACGTCGGAATTATCTCGTTATTTAGCAGGTTACTAGGCACGTCACTACACTGTTTTATTTCATCGATCGTCTGAGTAAAACTTTCAAAATTTATCATAAAAGAGAACATATTTTGACATTCTAAACATTAGACTATAGTGAAAAACGACAAATCACAGTTACTAAATAACTGACAGCCGCGTGGAAATAAATTGACATTTTGTTGAAATAGGTGAACGCGTCGGGTCATGACGAGGGCAAGTGCGTTAAAAACAACGTTTAATTGGATAAAAAAAATATTCGAGATCGACACACATACAGATAAATTCAGAGTGGATTCGAGTTAGCGTGATCCATGGCATGATTGTCATAATTATAACATCATATTAAAACTTTATTTGGTGGAAACACATTGACCAAGCCCGGATTCTTATTTCATAAATTATTACACAGATCAAGCTGCAAGCATGGAGGTAAAAAGAAAACAGATGTGAATTCGACATTCAACACCAATCACCAAACAATTCAGAAACTTTTAGCCAGTCCCTTTATAGATAGAGGGACTGTGCTTTAGCCTTCGAATATGAAAACAATTAGCAGTGTGTAAGGCTGTGTAATTTCCTGTTTGTTCGACGCTTCGTTTTCGTGTCACTGTCAAAATTATTGCTACCTTTTTACTTAACAGGGACTAAATGGTCTCTATAAAACGATCGCAAAAAAAGTCAACTCATTTGAAACACTTGCCGGACGTCTCTCTCTCTTCTGAAATCCGCCTCGGTGATCATGGGCTGGTCCGTAATCTATTTCTTTCAAAAGTGTTGTGCCAGGTTTACGTTGTTGGCGTTTCCCTTTAAACCTAGTTGTTTTTTTCATGGACGAGGACAGTTTTTCCAAAAAAAAAAAGAATCTTAGGCTAAGTGGCTTTCGTCCACTGATGTCGCACCTTCGGATCGATTAGAAACGTGTGAATACTTGCACTATGACTTGATACGTTTCACTGCAATTGCCCACAACACAACATCTAAAAACTCCCTCTCAAAAAAATAAAATAGACAAAAAAATAGAAAAAACACCGACCGAAAAATGTATATCGTTTAAAAGTATACTGAATGACCAGTGTTATTACAGCTCAGGGATATGACTTCCTCTCACATTTTGTCATTTGGTGGCGCACTTTCGGCGAGAGTCTGAAATCCGGAAACAGTTGACCGTTTCAGGATAGGTGGGCTTGGCTACAACACGTGAAATATCCCAAATTTACTTGGATACGAGTAATCATTTTCAGCAAAAAAATCAATAACTGTCCATTTCAGTGGAACACAGATCTAAAATAGGAAACGTGAGGATGGGCATTGCACCGGCACTTTACCTTTAAGCCACTAATATCCTCAGCACATGGGAGTTCTTTCTAAGCTTTCTTTGATTTATAAGTGTTCTAATTTTAAGCTCGCATTTCTGTAGTGATGCATTTCACTGTATTGTAGCAGGATTTTTTTATTTTGTGCTAGTGCTAAGTGGGCATGTTCTGTATAATGTATTGAGTCTTCTTGTTCAGTATAACCATTTTGAGATTTACAGCAATTCCAGGCACTGATTTGACGCTGGAGTAGTGCTAGATGTTGATAACTTACTACATTAGGTTACACACTTTGTTTTCAAATTTACAGAAGTTGTTAGAAATAATGCAGACAGCACGTCTGCAATTTGAAGCACACCGGAAGAAAGCTCCGCCCATAAAAGTGGCGGTACATTAGTTTTGAATTTCTCCTCCAATAAACGATCGAGACTCTCAACTTAGTTTCGTACTTTAATTTGAGTCGCATGTTATTTCAGTGAGAGGGGCGCATAAAGTGGTGGCACTGTAAAGAACGTTATTTTACGGAACCAGCTGATCGACTGATCATGACAGAATTATTGATCAAGGTGCATTATTCCTATTATGCCAAAGAAATATCAGTTATTCAATTATTAGTTCTCGACGATGAGAACCAAAAGGTTGATGTGCCACCAAATAATCGCTTTAAAAAGCTTATCACTGGCAACACACGATCACACGTCCGGGGAGGGTGGCCGCCGTACACAAGTAATTTTTGTTGAATTTCCTGTCTGTAAATGCGCGGTCGCAATATGTTATAATATTCGACATAGTCTATAACGTTGTCAGTTTCCTTAGGATACTCTCGGTGGTAACAAACCGTTTGACGATATTATAAGCTGTCTGTTTTGAATCATCATTTCGATCTCCAATCTCAGCAAATGACAGTCCACGAAAAATCGACAACTCTTGTTCTCACTTCAACTGTTATTTTTTAACTCCTTGCTTCTCCATCTTAGACAAATATAGATTTGTAGACACGCAATCGACACGATGACTGACCGTAACCAAAAATGAATGAAAGACAGACGCGTATCAAACTCTAGGTGTACCTGACTTTGTAGCAAAAATAGAAAACATTGTGGCACAGATCTAGAAGCCGTACCTACACATGAATTGGTGACGTCACAAAATACACGACCTTCAATCGGGGTAGTTTCTTCGGTATATACGAATTGGTATATACAAATTACAATAAAGATACTTAAGACATTACACATAAGGTAAAACAAATCACATGACAATATAATGATAATAACCGTAATAAATCCTAGCTTAACAGTTGAACAGAACGCTCATATAGTCGGTCGGGTCACGCCGAGGGTCACGCACTGTGCTGCAAAATGGCCGTGTGGTTGAAACTGGGTCATGGCGTGATGGGTGAGGAAGACATCATTAAACACTCTCAAAATCACAATAAAACGGGGAAGTGGTTGCATATTACGGTGTAGCCAACATGGGAAATAAAAAAACGCCCAATACAAACGACATGGGTTCGAA